TGGAACGTATGTATGTTTTGTATATTTTAATAATGTTATCACGTGATGTTCCCTGGGTTTTGCCTGTTAGACTTCTTGCATAATTTGTGCGTTTCCGTATTTTTGTTAATATATTATTTGTATGTTTGACCCACGTCAATTTTGGGTCGAATGTTAATCCTAAGAATTTTGCCGATTTGGAAGTCTGGAGAAGTGTTCCATTCTTATATAGTTTAGGTGGGTCTTTTTGGTGCTTTGTTAATCTTGAGAAGGTTAGTAATTTGTTTTTCGGGACATTTATTTATATTCTATATTTTTGACAGTATTCTTCTATATTATTTAGTACTGGTTGTAGATTTGTTGTTGCTATGGATGGGGTGGGGGTACTTTTCCAGATCGCAACATCGTCCGCGAATTGTGATGCACAACCTTGATTTGGGTCTTTTAGAGACATATTACTTACATACATGATGAATAGAATAGGGCTAACTACCCCTCCTTGGGGTACGCCTGCCCCTGGGGTAACTGCCTCAGAGTAGGTTCCCCCTCACATTTATTTAACATGATCTGTTATCCAAGAAGTTAGATAGCCAGCGAATAATCACCCGCGGTAGTTCCAGTTCTGTCATGCGGAACCTGAGACCATTGTGCCATACAGTGTCGAAAGCTTTCTCGACATCGAGAAAGCAGGCGACAATGCATTCATTTTTGTTAAAGCTATCAATTATAGCATTTTACACTCTCTTTCTCTTTCCGAATCGGGATTTAGGTCGTTTTTACGACCTGGGAGGGGCAGGTTCAGGTAGACCTCTTCCTTCCTTCTTTACTGTTGTTATATTTTTGCATTTTACACACTCTCTCTCCTCCTGATTGGAATTTAGGTCTTTGTGACCTAGGAGGGTCAGGTGCGCTGGGACCTCTTCCTCCTTTCCGGACTGTGCTATGTCGACTGTGAATGTAGATTGTTGATACTACACGAGGGTCGGAGTAAACCGCACTTGCTCCGACCCCTTTCAGGGCAATGTCCATGTACGTATCCACAGTTACATTCTGTGTTTTGCATTACTTATATAAGTCCATAATGCAAGTTACACATTTCACTAGTTAGAGACTAATCGAATACATTTTACATATAATACCCTTTTAAATATATTATTTTTAGGCTCTAACTAGTGTCGGGTTTATATGTCTAGCGTTCGGTGGCATGATCACATCCTTATTTCTAAAATAAATGTTAACAGGCGAGAGGTATTTAGGTCTACTTCCATCATGTATATAATAACGATCGAGTTCACAAAGTAGGTCGCTCTTTTGCCAATTTTTCTCAGAGTAATTTAGAGTATTATGCAAGAGTCTATCGGCTATTGTTTGTATATTAGCATATCTGTGCATAAATGTTGATGAGGTGCTACGGGGGACCCTGTATGCTGAGGTGATTAATGTGTTTTGTATTCTTTGTAGTTTGTTTATGTGCTTAAGATCTGTGTTTATCCATGCCGGACTGGCATATTCTATTATTGGTCGAATGTATGTTTTGTATATTTTAATAATGTTTTCAGGTGATGTTCCCTGGGTTTTGCCTATTAGACTTCTTGCATAATTTGTGCGTTTCCAGATTTTTGTTAAAATGTTATTTGTATGTTTGACCCACGTTAATTTTTGGTCAAATGTTAGTCCTAGGAATTTTGCTGATGTTGAGGTCTGGAGAAGTGTTCCATTCATATATAGTTTGGGTGGGTCTTTATAATGCTTTGTTATTCTAGAGAAAGTAAGTAGTTAGTTTTTCGGGACGTTTATTTTTATTCTATATTTCTGGCAGTACTCTTCTATATTATTTAAAACTGGCTGTAGATTAGTTGTTGCTATAGATAGGGTGGGGGCACTTTTCCAGATCGCCACATCATCCGCGAATTGTGATGCACAACCGTGATTTGGATCTTTCAGTGGCATATTACTTACATACATGATGAATAGAATAAGGCTAACTACCCCTCCTTGGGGTACGCCTGCCTCTGGGCTAAATGCCTCAGAGTAGGTTCCCCGTACATTTATTTTACATGTTATATTTTCCAAGAAGTTAGATAGCCAGCGAATAATCACCCGCGGTAGTTCCACTTCTGTCATGCGGAACCTGAGACCATTGTGCCATACAGTGTCGAACGCGACAGTGCATTCTTTTTTGTTGAAGCTATCAATTATTGTTTCAGTTAATCTAACCAGATGATCTGTTTGTCTAAATTTTCTTACACTCTCTCTCCGGATCGGGATTTAGGTCATTTTCGACCTGGGAGGGTCAGGTTCAAGTAGACCTCTTCCTCCCTTCTGTACGGTTGTTGTTGATTTTTTTCTGTGGTTCAGGTTTTTTATGTTTGGCTGGTTTGTTATGGGGTTAATGTATTTCTGTTGGTACTTTCCTTTTCAGAGCCATGTTATCAATTTATATGTGTGTATTGTCCTATTTTTGGGTGTTAGTGTACTTTAGGTCTATAGTAGAAGTAGTAAGTGTGGTAATAATAAAGGTAGTTCTTGTGCTGCTGTTTTTATGATTATTATGAATATGTTATCTTTGTTTTGAGGGCTGTTATATTTTTCCTCCGCTTTTTTGAATATGTTTTTGATTGTCTCTACTACTTTGTTTATGAATTCCTCTGTTTTAGGAGATGTATCTATAGGTGTCTTCTTTTGTTCTGTTTTTTCTTTGGTTTGTGTGTTTGTTTTCTCTTCTTGTGCTAGTGTAGTTGTTTCCGTTATGGTGTGGGTTTTTAATGCTTGTGCAAATGTCTGTTTGTTTGTATTGCCATTTTGTTGAGGGTTTGGTGTAGGAAGCAATGGTGTTTTTCTTTGTGTGCTGTATGGTTTATAATTTTGAGCTTGTGTGTGTGTGTGTGTGTGCTGTATATTATCTATTCTTGTTACAATAGTTTTATATTTCTGGCATCCTTTATAGTTTGCCGTGTGTTGTTGTTGGCAATTGCAGCAGTACGGTTGTGGGTTATTTCGTGGATATTCGCTGTTTTCTTACACTATAATCTAGCAACAGTTATTTTGAAATTGGCGCGTAGTTTTCGTCACAGGGTACATGTAACTGCCTGTAATATTGTTGGCTACTTGATCGACTATAGCACATATGGTTGTTTCTTAAATATGCTACAGTTAGAGATACAGTTAAATTGTATTTAGACCTTACTTTTATATTTTAATTAATTATGCTATATTTGTGTTTTTAAATTCATATATGAAAGGTTTGATAATTTTCTAAATATATTTTAATATAACCTTCGCCCCAGCAAGTCTTAGAACACAAAGAAAGTACAAATCGATTTTGCCTGAGGTTAAAGTTTCTCTGTCTTTCATACCGTTCTGTAGACCGCGGTTACCCGTTGACTTGTGTGGACATAAAACTATTAGTAAAAAAAAATGGTAAAAACATGAAATTACGAATATGAACCAAAGAGGATATTTTAAGATTCTTCTACGAAAGTAAGTACATATTCTTAATTTTAAATATTTCATTTGCACTGCACTGTGCATCTAAACCAAGAAGTCTAGTGGAGTGGTGTCTGGCGAATGCGGAGGCCACGGAATTGGCCCACCCTGCATGTTAAACGACTTATTGATCCTTTTTTTACAAAGTTGTCATTTTATGGGGTAACACTACTACTAGAATGAAAAAACAAAAACAAACAAACATGTCAATAAAACTGTTTGATTTAGGCTACAACATGTTAAAATTGCGTGGTTGTATTTCTTTAGTTATTTAATTATTAAATTTTAAGATAGGAAAGATAATTTTTGACCATCTTGTATTTTGCGCAATGGAAGTAATTGTCTACTGGAACCTTTAAGGTTGAGGAAGAACGTATAAACTCCTTTTATTTTTAAATTTAGGGCTGAAGAGAATGTTGATATCCCTGATGGTTAGGAAAGAGGAACTGAACACTCTTTACATTTTATGAAAAATTAGAGACGTGGTTATTTATACAAGATTCTAAGTTTTAATTACATTGTTAGATATTTAAAAAACAAAGTAAAATCTTTAGATGGCTTTTATTTATTTATTTCTATAGTCTATTTAAATACCTGTATGTAGCTAATTAGTGTTTCTCCTCCTTTCTTTCAAACAACAACGAAAACACGTGTCTATTCAGTAGGTGAGTTATAAATTTCCGATTAGTTACTGTATATTTTATTGTGTTATTACCTTTGCTCATTTTTTACGCATGCCCTTAAACACGTATATTAACCCTATTTGCACGGATGGGATCCAAAGTGTGCATGCCACAATCTTTTACAGAGTACTATTCGACATGGTATTATGAATTTGATGTCAGAGTTATGAACTGTTCATGCTACATACAATACATTACTGATTTAGCGACAGTTCTTGTTAGCGTAAAGAAAATGCCATATACAATATACAGGAATACTGAAAAACTTTAGATGTGCATTTAAGAAGTTGTAAAGGCTATGCAAATACAAGTTGCAAATTGAACGACAGACAAAAGTATTTTTATTCTTCATATAAGCATCACTTTGTATTCCGACTTGTCAGGATCTGAGTCAAACTAACTTCGACATTTCACAGACATATGTTTAGTACAAAATCTTTAGCAACATATCTGTTTTTTGTATGCGTGTGTACAACAGACCTGTACTGTTGACTGAAAGCTTGCCACATGTTGTGACGATACACTTCGTAAATTTGAAATTATGGTCAACATTACTTCTTCCATACGGGGTCGGTCCAATGAATCAACCTCGTGCGCATTCAGTTATACTGCGCAATACTTGAAATCTGGCAACAATTCCTCATAACCATTAATAGAAAAGCACAACAAGGTTTTAACTGAAACAAACAAAGAAAAAAAAGCGAAAATATTGTTTCTTACCTAAAGGGTCTCCTTCGATCAAGAAGTAATCAAACGATAGCAAAACTTTGTGGAACTGTTGGACGGTAATGTACCAGTTACATATCTGTTGGTGTGGTTCGTATGGGGAAGGGAAACCTGGACTGATGATTATTCCATTAGAGGTTCCTGTGATATTTCCTCCACAATCTACATTGTTAGAAATAAAATGAATACTCTTGTAAAATATGTTTTACAATACAGACAAATGATAAACCTTTCAAAAGAAGTAAATGTGAAGAAAGTATTCACGTCAAAATGTGAAGAAAAATAAGTTGAATGTACATTTATCGTCACAAATACTGCACCAAATCACTAGAATAAAATAGAGAAAAGAGTATTTTTTTTCTTAAATTTAGTACACAGTATTTTGAGTAAAAGATATATTATTAAAAATACTTAATGTTGCACTTATATTTGAAAAAGGTACATTAAGTTTCCAAGTAAACAATATTAAAAATAAATAAACAAACCAGAGAATTTGGGCTTTGACGGGAAGAATAAGTAGGTGGCGCTAAAACCGCTAGCAACATCACTGTTATCTGTGTTGAGCATGACTTTCATATCATGTACGCCCACATCAGAGACTATAGGTCCAGGAGCAGTTCTAGAGCAATATCTACCAAATTTGTTTTCTCTACTGCTAGGATACACTTGATATATTTCAATCCAGTCCTCTGTACACATTTCACTAAGACGATGAAAGTAAACGAGATATTATCCCATAAACAATTTCATGAAAATGAATAAAAAAAAGCTCCGTTACACTTTGAAGTATTCAAACATTTATTTTATCAATAAACATAAATTATTAAGAGAAAATAACAAAACTATAAACATTTGCATAAGACTGAAACGAAGTGACCAATTGATAAATTATAACATTGCACTATCTATAAGTTTATATTGTTGGATTCAATTATATTATAAATATTAACTTTAATTTTGCTGACACATTTTTAAAAAACTAAACATAGGATAATTAACTCTGGGCTAAATTTATATATTCCAAGAGTTATTATAACCTTTAAGTATATAATTTAAGCATATTTTATTTGAATTCCAAAACTCTATTCAGGTTGATCCGAGTTGAAAATTTGCTCTCAAATAACCGTTCTTGTAGGTATTTCATCACAGATTGCAAATTATCTTATATGAAATAAAATATTTTATTTTTATGATAGAAAGTAAAAATTTACAAATAAAAAATAAAAAAATTACAATCAGCTGTAACGGATCAGAGACATCGTGTTGGATATAAAATAGTAATATAAGGGTATCATAAATCTAAGTACAAATAACTTAATAGAAAAGTGCTAAACACCTAGGTACACTAGACAAATATAGATTCTAGCAGAAATCAAGAAAAATAGAATAATTTTTTGTATAATGAAACAACTGTTGTACACATGATTAGTAGGAGAGAGTTCTAACGACAAATACAAGACTCCAAGAGAAAAGTGGAAAAACTGGGTTCACGAATGAAGTGTTTTAAAGTCAAGTAAAAAGAATGCTACAAAAACGTAAGTGATTTAGTACACGAAACTAATCGAAGGACGTTCTAAAAACAAGTATAACGGATTCCGACAGAAAATCAATATACTAGGTACCCAAGACCAATTGAAATGTTTACAAAGCAATGTACAACTGACTCCAACAGAAAAGTAAAGGACTAGGTACGCGATAAGATAGAAAAGCGTTCCAAGAACGAATATAATGGACTCCAAAAAATAAAAAAAGAAGTAAACTGGGTAGGCGAGGCCAAGAAAAGAATGTGTTCTGAGAATGAGTACAATTAAAAAAAATTAATACACAAAACTGATAAAATGGCGTTCTAAAAAGCTATAACGCTTTCAAATACAAATGTAAAGAAACGTAAACTGCAGATACTGAAGTAAATGTTCGAAAAATAAGTACAGCGAACTCTAGCAGAAACATAAACGACTTGTTAGATGCAGATACTGAAGCAACTGTTCCAAAAACAAGTACAATGAGTGTAGCAGAAACATAAACGATCTGTCACACGAAACTCACTAAGTGTGTTATAGCAATAAATATATATATATTCTATACTAGCTGTGTACCCGTCCTTCGTACGAGTTGTGTGTATAAATAATACATTAATTTAACAATTAACAAACAAATTACTTATCAGCCCTGATAACAATTTGAAAGTCAGGCGAGTCTAGAGGCAAGGTCTCCATGGTGGTTTTGAAGCTCTGTATGTAGGCGTTATTGTCTTGAAGCATGGTCTGCAGAGCGGCTACCATGTTGGCGTCCAGGTCTTGAAATAAGTTCAACAAAGAACATATCACCAACAAAGTATATTTGAAGGAAAGATGCAGGTTGTCCGGGGGTTGGCAAAAGAGAGCCGATCAGATGGTACACTTGGCCTTGAACCTTAAACGTAGG